TTAACATATTTATTACCTAAACTTTTTTTTTTTCAAAACTTAAATTTAAATTTAGAATGGATACTAAAATGAAATAAAAACTAAAGTTTTTAACGGTGGGTTCTAAAATGAGATGAAATGTTTGGTATGATTTTGATAAAAATGAAAGTTTAGGTACTAAATGCGTAGTTTATCCATTTTATTTGATCTCTAACGTTTGTGAATAAAGCAAACTGGGTTGGAAGGGTTGTCCTCGTCTCTGTAGTACCCATTTTTATCGTCTATGCCAAAATGGAGTTCAAACATCCAATACCTTACAATAATATATTGGTAGTATAATATATATATAATTAGTTTATGAATCTATAAATGGATTCAATAGTTAAACGTATAGTGAATTTAGAAATATTTGTTAGGGTAAGTATATATATGTTAATAGTATAATATTTTTGAATGAGATAAGTATAAATAAAATTTCACGGTGTAAATCATTAACAAAACGAGTCACTAATCGAAGAAAATTTAGATTTAAAGTGGGCACAATAAAATTTCAGGGTAGACACATCCAATAAAATAAGTGACTAATCAAAAAAAAAAAATCTGAATTTCAAGGTAGGCACAAGCCCACCCTGTGCCATGAGTGCATATGCCACTGGTTAAAAGGATTGTTGTTGCACGAATCAAGTGGCCTCCTTGGTAATAATTATTCTTGAGGACTCGGGTTCGAGTATCACAGATATCAGGAGTGTGAGAGTTCAATATCAAAAAATTAAAAGTTATATTTAAACAGATAGTGTTCCATAGAATTGTGATATTTACACAAATGAAAAATATAATTTAGAATATTTTATAAAATATCAAATCATAATTTGAATGATTTTAACAAATTTAATTGTATAGTCCAATAAATATTCAAAATTATATATTATTCTAAAAATAGTAAATAAAGTTAATGACATTAAAAATAGTAAAGAGACTAAATTTTGTAAAATACAATTAGAGAAATTATGTATTAGATTCCGGCATAGTACAAGGACCAAATCTAAAATTAGACCTTTTGCAATTCATTTTATTCTTCTCGGCGCGTGGCGTGGGGCATGTTGAGGGAGGTTAAGGCGTGTCTGATAAAAAATTAGTAAAACTTTTTAAATATTCAATTCTATTTATTATATGATTAATAGTTAAGCTATGTATATAATTAACAATTAACGTGTAATTTTTTTTTATATTTCATTAATAAAATTTAAAATAAATGATTAAATTTTTTTTAATTGAGACTTTGTTTCTCCTGTTTGGATGCGAGTGTAAGAGCAATTTCTTCCCCTTTTATATAGATTAAATTAAGATTAAATTTAAAATTTTTAAAAAAATATCATACTAAAAAATCATTGAATTTCATTATTAAAACTAATATAAAAATAAAAATTATAATGCATCTAAGAAAAATTGGAGACAATAGTAAAAAAATTCACACGTAAAACAAAAGTATTACATCCAAATATATGAAAGAAACGAAATATTCAATTGAGAATGACGTACAACATCAAAAGAATCTAATAACCCTTATAAATCTCAATGTCTTTGTGACGAAACGTTTTATATAATGATAATGGAATGATGAGTGAACTAAATAAGTTGACAAACGTTCATAATGTAGTCGTTGATGTTCGAGTTTTTAACTTTTTGATATTAAACTATCACACTTTTGATATATATTATGTTCGAATCCGAATCTTCAAAAAATAATAATAATTTTTTATTACAAAAAAAACTACTTAATTCGTACATTATTTTTCGAATAAATATGAAACTAATAGATTTATATAATAATTTATTTAGAAAAATGTAGACAATTTTGGGTACGGCAGTTAGGTGCTCCGAAAATGAAAATAGGGGGATCCAAATCCCAAGGCACAATCAGCCTATTTTAGTTTCATCGATTTGGGCCTCTTGACTCCATTGGCCTATTGCTTCAAATAGGAAGAACATTGATTTATATAAATATCACCCTTAGACCCAATAATTACCTGTTAGACATCATTTCCTCAAATATTATCGATCTAACACCTTTTGTAAAACGGTGACAATAAAGCGCGGATTGTCAGCCTCGCTTTCGCGAGATTCTGTATGAGATGGTACCACGTAAGGAAAGGCTAGAGATACATAAATGGTCCATCTACTATAAGATATTAAGTCTCTCGACTATTAAAGTTTACAAAAATGATCATCCAATTATATACTGCTAGTTTGTTAAGTCCCTCGAGTATTAAAAGTTACAAAATGGTCACGTGACTATTCATTATGTTCAAAACTTGTCATTTTTCATTAAAAAAATTACCAGTTATCTAAGCTGGATGTTAACATGAAAATTGAGATACGACAGTCATTTGAGATTATAGGATCAGATTTTATCCTATCGCAGTCAACAGGTTAACGTTCAGCTCAAAACACCGTCAAATTTTTGACGGAAAATGATAGGTTTTGGAATATAATGAATAGTTAGATGATAATTTTGTAACATTTAATAGTCGAGAGACTCAATAAAACAATAGTATATAACTAGAATACCGTTTATAACTTTTAATAGTCAAAGAACTTAATAAGACAATACCATATAGTCGAGTATCATTTGTGTACTTCACCCTTTTTTAAAATAAACAAGTCTTTCATGCATATTATTATACTTATAAACTTAAGTCTATATTTTTTAGGGATCAAATAATAATTTATGATGATTACAAGTTAATATATGTTTAAAATATTTCTTATTTATTACTAATGCATATGTATCTTATAAATATAATTATTCAGACCTAAATTAAAACGATGATTCATCACACGCAACCAAAGTTTCGTTACTTGATATTGACCATCAAAACATTATAATTTTTCATAAAAACAAAATATTCATAATTTCATTTTATGAAGTATTTTAACTATTAAAAGTTACAAAATAGTCACTCGACTGTTTATTATATTTTAATCTCGTCTTTTTACGTTAAAAAATTGATGGTTGTTTAAGATGTACGTTACTAGGATATGATAGTCATTTAAAATTATAGGACAATATTTTATCATATCACAGTCAATAGGTTAAAATTTAGGTCGAAATATCATCAATTTTTAATAGAAAATGACTAGTTTGAAACATAATGATAGTCAGATGATCATTTTGTAACTTTTAGTAGTCGATGGACTCAATAAAGTAATATTCTATCATTGAAAGATCATTTTGTAACTTTTAATTATCGAGACACTTATAAAGCATTATCTTATAGTTGGAGGATCATTTGTTTACTTTATCCATTTTTTAATTTTCCTTAAGGATGCATATAAATCCCTCAATTGTTATATTGTCTCGACTCACAACATAACTTTTTCTAAATACCTTAAATATTTAAATTACGTAGAATTCGATTATATAAAATTTCGACAATAATATAAAAATTATATACATATTTAGATAAAGACTAAAAAATATTACATAATAATAAAGGGTAAAATACACAAATGGTCATCTTATTATAGTGTATTATTAATTTAAAGTTATATAACGATCATTTGACTATAGAGTGTTGTTTTGTTAAGTCATTCGACTATTAAAAGTTACAAATAGTCATGCAACTATTTATTATATTCTAAACTCATCATTTTTCGTTAAAAAATTAATGATATTATGATCACATATTATGATTCATACATTAATCTGTTGAGTGTGATGTGATCCTAGAATCTCAACTATTATATCATAGTGATTATATTAACGTCCAACTTAAACAACCATCAATTTTTAACATAAAATGAAAAATTTAAAATATAATGAATAGTCGAGTGATCATTTTATTATTATTAATAGTTTAAATACTTAACAAAACAACATTATATAATAAAATGATAATTTTATATTTTTTGATAAAATAGAATATTATAATAAGAGGATTATTTATATGCTTTAACCCACAATGAAATACTATATCATATCCTACATGTTATCAGTGTCGGCCACTCAAGCTCCTTGAATGAGAGGTAGTTATATCGTACGACAGCTTAATATATGGTTAAAGAAATACATTATTTGAAATATTATTATTTTTGATATTTTCGATAAAATACTATCTAAAATACTAGTTGTTTTACCGAAAATGTTAATTTTGTAAGCTAATTTCTGGTAAAAAAATAATATTTAAGTAATGTTTAATATTAACATTTCTAATAAAAAAAATAATATTTAAGTAGGGTCCAATATATACATTTCGATAGAATAAATAATATTTTAAATAATATTTTATCAAAAATATTAAAAAAATAATAATATTTTTTATAAAATATTTTTATTAATCGTATATTCACCTCTAGACTTCCCCTTTAATGAGAGTACACTTCTACCGAGGCCAAACCAAATGAAGCCAGCCCCATTCCCTTCTCTTTTGTCTAATTCCCATTGATTCATTCAACTCTCCCAGCACATGTCATTTCCTTTTTCTTTTTTATTAATTAATTATATTTATTTTATTGATCGATTTATTTAAATTTACGAAAATATATTATGAGATTATCTTTTTAATTTAAATTATTTCATACACAAACATTATAATTCGAATAATTCTCTAACTCGCATTGATCCATTCAATACTCCTAGCACATCTCCCTTTCCTTTTATTATTATTATTATTAATCAACGTATTTAATTTATTAATTAATTAATTTATATCATATTTTATATAAATCTATTATAAAATTATCTTTTTAATTCAATTTATTTCATTCACAACTATCATAATTTCAATAATTCTCTAATTTTATTTTAAAAAATAATAATATCTCATTGAATTGATTATCGATGCTACATGTTCCTTCTCCACATCCACACACACACACATACACAAATAAAATAAGCATGAAAAAGCCTCTCTTAAGTTGAGCTCTTGAGAAAATATCAAACTCAATCTCAACCCATCACCACTTTACCCTTCGTCTTCGCTTACCTCTTCTCTCTCTGCGATAACCAGAAACCAAAAGCCATGTTGGAAGAACCGATCCCCACCGTTCCATGTTCCATTTGGACATCGCTGCTCAGCTGGTTCACCCCGGCCGTGTTCTTCGTCTTCCTCAACCTAACAATCGGCACCATTTATTTCACTTCCACTTTGACCTCCTCCAACAACGGCGGCGATGGCGGAAGACGTGACGGACAAGACAATGAAACTAACCAGAAGCTCGCTAGATCCCCGTCCGTGTTGCAGAGGTTGAAATCTATCAACTTTTGTGCTTATAGATCTCAAGAGCCCGTTGTTGAAAGAACGCCGGATTTAAGTGATTTCCAGTTCTCTTTTCAACACCAAATCTCTCAACAGCAGCAGCAACAGCCGCTGGATCGATCTCCTTCGTTGCTTCAAAGGGTTAAGTCCATTAACCTCAAGAGTTACTTCTCGCCGGAGAAAAGCCATGAAAAATTCTCCCATTACGCGTCGGACGAGGTGTCCGATGCAAAAGCGGAGAAACCCGCGGCGACCCAAGGTGATGGGCCGACGCTCGACGAAATATACAGCCAGCTGAAGGTTGAAAACCACCATGTTTCGAGGACTAAATCCGATACCAAACCGTCATCCGGGGAGGTCCCGACTAAGCTTCCGAGGAAGATGAAGAAATCCGCCAGCGTGAAGTCTGCTTTCCGGCATTTCGAGGAAGACGACATCGTCGAAGCTCGACGTCCCGCCACCGTGAGGGAAGGCAAAGATAAATCGACGGCGGAAGACGACGAAGACGATGAAGTTGATGCCAGAGCGGATGATTTCATCAACCGGTTCAAGCATCAGCTGAAGCTGCAAAAGCTCGATTCCATCATTAGGTACAAGGAGACGGTTAACAGAGCAAGCGGAAGATGAAAAGTAAAAACAAAAATGAAAAAAAAAACAGCTTTAGATCTTCAATGGCCTTCTTTGTGTGTAAGGGTGTAGATCCAGTACTGGTATTGTTTCTCCAGAACTTCGTGTTACCAAAAAAAAAAGAAACATGGCACCTTCATTCCATTTTCTGGTCTCTAACATCAAATGGATTAGAATTTAAAGATCTTACTGATTATGGAGTTCTGATATTTGATGGGGTAAGTGTTGTTTGGTGATTCTCTATTCTCTTTTCATATGATGTTCACCATTGCCGTTCTTAGCAATAAGCTTTTCCTAGCTGTTCTCTACTGGAACTACGTTGTTTTCCGGTTAAATTACTGTATTAGTCATTGAACTTTTAAGTTTTCTATCAATTTTAGTAAAAGCTTTTAATACATTTCGATGTAAGCATTAGATTGTGATTTTAGATTTAAATAAAATACTGGATTGTTCGATTAGAAATTACAATAATATGTATTTTTTTTATTCTATCTCATCTCTATTCTCGCATATTTTTTTTTTTTGAAAAAATGGGTTCTAAAAATATAGGTAAATTATGTAGATAGTCCCTTATTTTTTTCAGTGTGATCGATTTTTGTCATTAATTTAAAAAGTAAGGGGTAATAGTCCATAACGTTAACGATCTGTTTGATTTTAGTCTCTTAGTCATTAAATTTCATTTGATTTTAGTCCATCGGTCTTGTTAGAGACTTAAATAAAAGGGATTTAAAAAAAGGGTTAGCGAAAATTAATAACTGAGGAATTAAAATAGAACGGATCGATAACGTTAGATATTATTTTTTTTAATTTTTAAATTGATGATCAAAGTCGATTAGACCTTAAACATAAAAGACTATCTACATAGGTTACCCTAAAAATATTAACAATATTTTTTTCTTCTATTATCTCATTGCCGATTAGTAGAATTAAGATTAAATTTAAAATTTATCGAATAAAAATGTTAAGGTTTATATACACTTTTATAGTCTATATGAAAAATTCCATTTTCCACTTTCTTTTAGAATAATCTTAAATATTGATTAATTTAACACACGAATCAACTTTCTTTAGTGGTTAAATGAATTATTATTATTTTTAAAGTTTATAAGTTTAAATATCAATTATTATAATAGATTGATTGAGCGTTATTGTCAAATGATTTGTTTAACCGGGATTAAGCAACAATAATAAAATTCAGTGCGTGTGCTTTCACTGCGGAAGCCGTCGGTTCCAAAATCTGGAAGTGGAGTGAAACTGTGTAATGGTGTGTCCTGTTTCTCAGGGGAGGCAGATGCAATGTTTATGGTTTTACTAAAAGGCCCCACGTTCATTTTGGATTGGAATAGACATGAGAGCGATGCGGGATTGGAAGGAGAGATTTGTACAAAAACATATGATAAATTATAAGTTTAGTATTTAAATAATTAATTTTGATCTATTTTAAAATTTAAATTTTTATTTCATAAATAATATTTAGTCTTTATTTTATACCAAATATTTCAAAAGCATACTTAATATTTAGTTTTTAATTCATTTTAGTATCTCACCGTCAAAAATTTAATGGACGAGCTTGTCGGTAATCGTATCCGTCGGTTGATGAAGCCCAAACATTTTTATATGCACTTTTTCGACTCACTGAACGTGATTCTGACTTCCATTTCATTGGGAAATGCCTTAATCTCCTTAAATCGATGATTCTTCGATTTTTTCATCCTTCGATCTTCATGGTCCACCATTAGATGGGCAGGGGCAAAACTTGATGATAGAGTTTGGGGACAACTTAAAACTTTAGAGGTTAAAATTAAAATTGTCAAAAGAATTTAATGATTTAATTTACATATAAAAAAATTGGGGTCTAACTAAAATTTTTGAAATTTTGAGAGGCTTATGGATAATTTTTAAAAATTATGGGAGGGGTTTAATTAAGAACATTCACAAATTTAAAGCTTAATCTGAATTCTTAAAATTTTTGTAGGGATAAATTTTTTTTTTAAATTAAGCGTTAAAACTATAATTTTTTCAAAATTTTGTTGGGCTATAGCTCCTATTAGTTCCGCCTCTGTTAATGGGACTGTAACTATATTATGTTGGTCAACTCGTCATTCTCTCGTGGTCCACTATTTGGATTGATTGTCCGTACATCAGAGATATGTCACGTCAGCCCGTTCATTAAATTTTTTACGATGAGATATTAAAATGAAACAAAAATTAAATATTAGGTATGATTTTGAAAATATGAAAGTTTATGTATTAAAATAAATAAAAAATGATAATTTAAGTGTTAAACAAGTAGTTTAAAAAATAGTTTTATTTGAGTTTTTTTTATTAGTTTGTCCACATAAAACGCTGATCCCCATCTGTGGCACTGTCAGGTGCTTGCCTGTGATGCACGTGGGAGATATTGTTTGGGTTACCATGCCCTCTTTTCAAGAGTTGACTAGTGACTTTTTTATCGCCGGATCCTAACTCAAAAAATTATATTTTTCACTTGATTTTAGGGTAAAATACACAAATGGTCCCCAGACTATAGGATAATACTTTGTCGAGTCCCCCAGTTATTAAAAGATAAAAAATGGTCTCCCGACTATAGGATGTTGCTTTGTTGAGAAGGTCGCCTGATTATTCATATATTTCAAACTTGTCATTCTCTGTTAAAAAATTAATTACAGTCTGAATTGGGCATTAACTTGTTGACTGTGATATGATAAAATACGATCTTATAATCTCAAAATACTTTTATATCTCAGTTAGCATGTTACTTTCTAACTGAGATAATATTCAATTTTTTAACAAAAAAGGATGAGTTTGGAACATATGAGTAGTCATGTGACTATTTTGTAACTTTTAGTAATCGATAAATTCAATAAAGCAACACCCTATATTTGGGGATTATTTTACAACTTTTAATAGTATGAGGACTCAATAAATCATTATCATATAGTTGAAGGACTATTTGTGTATTTTACCCTTGATTTTAATATGTTTTGATATTTAATAATATTTTTATTTGTGGTAAAAGAATTATAGTTATTCTTTAAAGTTGAGTTCGAGCATTGTAAATGTCAGGGGTGTGAGCGGAGTGTTTAACGTCAAGAGATTAAGAATAATATTTAAACAGATAACACATTATACTTATCTCAAATTAATTAAAAAAATGATTCATTTCTTCCAATAATGGTTTAAAGAATTATATTTTTTCACGTGCATGTCAAATTATTTTTTAATATTTAAAATAGAGAAATGAATGATTTGATCATGCTTTTAAGGGTAAATTACACGTCTAGTATTTAAACTAATAATTTTGTTCGGTTTAATATTTAAATTTTTAATTTTTTAAAATTTATATTTAACATTTAGTTTTTATTTTATTTTAGTATCACATTGTTAAAATTTTAACGCGTTTAGTACCTACGAATCAGTTCTGGCCCATTTTAGTACCTAAACTTTCATTTAAAAAAAAACTTAATAGGTACTAAAATGAAACAAAACTATTTTATAACTTTTAATAGTAAGAGGACTAAAAAAATCATTATCATATAGCTGAAGGACTATTTTTATACTTTACCCTCGATTTTAATATGTTTTGATATTCAATAACATTTTTATTTGTGGTAAAGGAATTATAGTTATTCTTTAAAGCTAAGTTCGAGCATTGAAAATATCAGAGGTGTGAGCGGAGCGTTCAACGCCAAGAGATTAAGAGTTATGTTTAAACAGATAATGTATTGAACTTATCTCAAATTAATTAAAAGAAAAAGAAAATGATTCATTTCTTCCAATAATGATTTAAAGAATTATATTTTTTACGTGCGTGTCATATTATTTTTTTAATATTTAAAATAGAGAAATGAGTGACTTGATCATGCTTTTAAGGGTAAATTACACGTCTAGTACCTAAACTAACAATTTAATTCTGTTTAATATTTAAATTTTCAATTTTTTAGTTTTTATTTTATTTTAGTATCCGTTGTTAAAAATTTAACGCGTTTAATACTTACACATCAGTTTTGACCCATTTTAGTACATAAACTTTCAATTTTTTTAAAAAACTTAACGGATACTAAAATGAAACAAAACTAAACGTTAATTATATTTTTGAAAAAATTAAAAAAATTAAGTACTACAATGATCTAAAATTAATAAATTAAGTACTAAATACGTAGTTTACCCTTGTTCTAATGTTGGTGGGATTGGCTCAATAATACAAATTGAATTGATCACTCATCTTTCATAGCACTATCATCATGTGTTTTACTTTGAAACGGAAGTGAGTCCATAATTCCCACAGTAATCAAATAGTTGTAAGTACTGATTAGTTTATGTCATCTTAACAATGAATTGTCCGTCTAGCTCAGTTGGTAGAGCGCAAGATTTTTAACCTTGTAGTCGTGGGATCGAGTCTCACAGAGGGCAATTCATAATGTAGGTCTTCCACGGAAGTTACTCTCAACCTGACGTTGGGGGCAGCCTACTACCCTACCTCCCCCTTATCCCATTACATAAGGGAATAGGGTCAGCATATACAATTTTATTTTCAAACCTAATTATTTATGCCAACTATTAATTTATTTAAGTAACGTTTTTGTAATTTTATGAGCCACAACAATAATATCGGCTTCAAATTAGAATATATATAAATAAAAAGGATAAATTACACGTTTAGTACCTAAACTTTTAATTTTTTCAAAACCATACATAAAATTTAGTTTTTGTTTCATTTTAGTATCATTGTTCAAAATTTAACATTAAGTTTTGAAAAAAATTAAGAGTTTAGGTACTAAAACAGAGAAAAAACTGATAGTTTAAGTACAAAACGCGTTAAGTTTTTAAGGTGGGTACTAAAAATGAAACAAAATTAAATATTAGACATGAATTTGAAAAAAATAGAAAAAAATATCAAAACTAAATAGTTTAAATATTAAATTTGTAGTTTACCTATAAAAAATTATATAATTCTTTTTTATTTTAAATTATAGGATAAATTACGTGTACGGTCTGTA